CTCTAAAGGATGCCCACATGCTGCCATGCGAGGCAAACACACGATACTTTAAAGCATTGGGGTGCTGGGGGCGGTGCAGCTCCTGCCCTCTCGTAAATATGCGATGATGGGAGGCAAGCAAGCGGGAGGGCTGGTGGGGGCGTAGCCTCCCCCCCCCCATCCGCCCGTTTGCAAACAAATGATTGGAAGGTGCACGCTGCTGTTTGAGGCAAACATGCACCACTTCAAAGAAGCGAAGGGGGGAGGTTCGGGCGGTGCAGCTCCCTCGCGTGTGCGAATATTTGATGATGGCAAGCAAACTCGCATGGCAACAACGAAACAAGGGGTCATGGGGCGCAGCCCCTACTACTATTTGCAAAGAAGTGATGATCGCACGACCCAAATTTTCCGGCATATAAAGCGCCCACATGCTGCTATGTGAGGCACGTGCGCGGCTGGAAAGAAGCGAGGGGGTTTTGGGGCGCAGGTAACTCCCATTTGAAAAGGTACTGTGATGGGACCTTTTGCACGCAGTGCCTGCACACTGCCTGGGAGGCAAGCATGTGCAGCGTTAAAGAATGTTAAAGAAACACTGGTTGGGGGTGGAGCAGCCCCCTTCTGCAAACACATGAGGATTGGAAGATCCATCCTTTCTGGCACACACAGGGTGCTCACATCTGCCATGTAGGGACGGCATTTGGCGTTGGGGTGGCTGGTGACGAGCAGCTCTCTCCCATCGGCGGATACGTGATGATGGACTATCCGTCCTTTTGCATACAGCGCCCCCCTGCTGCGCTCCGTGAGGCAAGCACGTAGGGCTCCAAAAGAAGTGGGGCGCTGAGGAGGGCGGAGTTCCCCGTTGGCAAACATTTGATGATTTGATGTTGAGGACAACCGGACCAGGGGACCACCAGACGAGAGGACCAGAGGACCACAGAAGACCAGGACCGTCCAACACCAGAGCACTACAGGACCGGCGAGTCACAGCACCAGAAGACCGGACCAGGAACGGAATATGTTTGGCCAAGAGGGAGGAACCACAGCTTCACCGGGACGGAGCCACACCTTTGCAAAAAAAACTGGACCGTGCTTTCTAAGATCTACCAGAAAACCAAACCTAGACCTAGACGTCAACATCTTGCAGTGCGGGGGGCTTTTTGGCCAATAACTCAAGTCTAGGTGCCAGCTGCTGCATCTCGGCACTGACAGGCTCACTGCCTGCAATGGAGAAGCTACGCTTCCATCAGATGAGAGCAATAGCCCTATACATTTCACATGCGTGTAATCACTGCACGAAGGGTCGCCATGCTCGAGGCCTGCAAATGACAATTGGTCGGCTGAGACTCGCACTCAAGCCACATGGTGGTCCATGGTCAAGCACCATGCAAAGAATCCGTGAAGACACACATCTGTCGTGTCAGAACTTGATTGCGACCACGAGAAGCCTAAGCCTAAACAAAGAAACCTTTCAGGAAGTACTTCTCAGCTGGTAGAGCCGGGAGAGTATCCGTTCATACCATTGAAGTGGAAGGGAATATTTCAAGCCGAAGCCAACGATCGCTTGACCCATCATGCTCCACAGGTCTTCCTGGCATCCTGCACAGTGAAACCACCTGGTTTGCAGTCTCCTGACAGCAGCGCCGTGATTGCCAGCGCAGTGCATGCTGCACGCTCCTTACACTTAAGCATGTAGCTACGGCCCCCGGGTTTATGGAATGTGTAGTTGGGGATTTAGGTTTGTGCTTGCGCGTCTGCCTGGGACTTCTGATGATCGAGGCCTACCGTCTGCAGTAGCTTTTGCACCATTCGCAAGGGCATGGTTGGTACGCTACACCGCAAACCACTTGGCGGCAAAGGAATGCCTCCGGGAAGCAAGTTAAACTTGGTCGAATTTGAGACTCGTAGTTGGTATCATACAGCCTCATCTGGCTCAAACCTTTAACGCTTGTGCATTGCCTCACTCTCCTCGCAAAACATTCAAACAGCTAGCTTCTCACAAATGTCCAGCCTTCTGCTCCTAACCCCCAGATTACATTGCCCGATATTGCACTTGCTGTTTGAGGCTGTGATTGTCCCAGCTGCCCGCTTGCGAGCATTCGTGCCGATGCCCACTGCCAGGTTGCCAGCAACTGCACACACCTTGCAATCTGGCGTTGTGGTCCAGGCATGTTGGGTTCAAACAGGCTTTCGAAGATGTCGCTGCTCCACCCCTTGAGGTTCGAGCCTTTGCCGTGCTCTGAATTTGTCGTTCAGTTATGCTCAAGGCCTGCCCTTGAAGGACTGCAGCAAGTTGGAATGGTTTGATTGATTGACCTCTGTCGTGAATTTGCAGAACCTGCTGCGGAAGAGTGTGCGCTAGAGGTGGCCCTTCAACTGCAGACTTGAACCAAGCGGCCACAAAAAGGTAGAAGTTGTACGCATCATCGTCCAGCTCTTGCATCTGTCGGGCGACTTCCTCCGTCGCTGACTTCACGCTCTCTTGGACAAGGCTTCTGCCCAACCTTATCCCCATCCCATGCCCAGCAACAACGGACTGGGCGACTGCGCTAGCTAGGAATGCAACTGCAGTAGCACATGCCACAGCCTAAACTCGACATCTACAAGACCCAGCTCAGATGTGAACTATACTTTGCTTCTAGGTAGGACATATACGAAGTGCACTGCACGGAGAGTGTAAACGTCTCATTTTGCACCCGACGGTACCTGCACAGCTCGTCGCTGTCCTGCACAGCTGCCACAGGGATGCAGAACTGTAGGATGATTGCGTTGGCCAAAACGGGAAATCTGGCTTACCTGCCCCTAGTTTGTTCTCGAACTGCCGCATATGCCACCATCCAGCATCATTTCATGGCCAAAACTAGAAAAGGTCTTGGTCTGCAACCAGTTTCGGCGACATCCCGGGCATCCTGTCATCACTGCATCGTAGGAACCATCGAACTCCTCTGGGCACAGCTCCAGGGGCGCTGAGCAGAGCTTGACAAACAGCAAACTCATTCTAACTGTCAGCTAGCACAGTAGCACAGCTAGCAATCTTGCAGGCGCAGAAAATGCGCCTGGGATTGACCAGCTTTGGGCTGCAACTGCCATGTACTTTTGAAATCCTCTGAGGCTGTGAAGTAGTGCTTGCCTGCAGCCCTCGCACACGCATATGGCTCCTGAATCTCAGAATATTTGGCAAATCCGAACCTTGCATGTTGCAGTACGGGTCTTTCCAAGTTGAAGCGGGGTTTTGTGTGTTGAGATGGCTTACTTGTCAGGACCAAGAGTTGGCGGACAGTATTACGTCGCGATTCGGATGCCTTTCGGGAAGCGGCTTTAAGCTTCCATTTCGCCATTTGTGCTTGTTCCTGACATATTGCTGTCTTTCTATTGGGTCTAGCCGCTGGTTGAAGCCCCTTACAACGCCTTGTCCCATCTCAAACTTGCTGGCCGGCTCTCTAGCAATGGAACCTACAACAGGTAACAAAAATGCCCTTGGGTCCCTGCATGTTGAGAGGATGGCGGAAAACTGATGAAGACCCAGCACCCCAGCTGCAAAAGACAGCGTACCTTAAACCCTTTATGCGACCTATTTCAATTCAAGAGACAGCGAGCGGGCATCCTGAGCGGCCTCTGCAGCTGGAGTTTCAGACTCAGGGGTCACTCATGGTCAATGCCCTGCCCAGAAAGACGTGTCATGGTTGTGGACAAACCTCACAAGGATGGATCCTGGTGGGCTCAGGATGTCAGTCAGGTAGCAACAAGGCTCTATTTGTCATCGTGTGCTCACTGCTGTTGCTGACCTAGCCGAAAACTCTTTGCTGTTGATGCGACTCCAGAAGCTGACGCTAGTGGCGGAAGCTGGCGCTGCTGCACAACAACTGTGCCTGTTGGAACAAAGGCTCCTTCTCGTTCAAGCACAGGACGCCCAGAACCGGTGGTTCCGTGCCTGCAACACTGAACAAATAAGCGCCGAAGCTTGCCTTGTATGAGGTGTATCTAGAGTGAAGGCCTCTGGATGCAGGGGCTTCTGTTCAGCCAAAGCTTTTCGGAGTACGCAGAGCCAACCAGTAGAGCTCTGGAAACCTTCCACCCTGCTAACGGCACATCTCAAGCACTATGCAAAAGTAAAATCGGGGTTTCTGCCTAAGTTTTCAGCGTCTTGCGAGGCGTATACAAAGGTCTTTCACCCTTTTGTCTCTCTTGCGTGCTTGATGTGTGGCGGCAGGATGTATGATTGGATGCCATCCGTCGATGCCGTTGTTGCATGTGTTGCGAAGTATAAGCGAACGTCCAAGTGCACCCCGCCTGCGCCCGGACTTAGGAGGTAGACCTTCACATTTGCCAGACCAACGTCGAGCAGCGACATTGCTGCGGAGGCAACGAGACAGGCCCTGAGATCGATCTTCATGGGAAGTTAGGGTGGTATACAGTATACATAGGACTGCATACTGAATATTTTGCATTTTCTGCTTTGGACTGTGCGGGCTTCCATCAACAGACTACCTGCGATTGGAGATCTTGCTTGGAGCCACGTTTGTACCTTCTTGCGCAGCATGGGTTGATTCCGGAATCCAGCTACATTGACACCAAACCGTCGCATTGCAAAGATGGATAACTGCAGCCACCTCAAGCAAGGCCCAGCTATGTTGAGGGGTTAAAGGCTTGAGCATGTCATGACTCCTTACAAGACCGCTTGAAACGGCAGTCTTTGGCGTCAAACTGGCAAGTGGCCCCATGAGGACCCGGAGGCCGCAGAGTGTTTCACCAAGTTGCACGGATATGCCCCAATTTCAAACTGAACTCTGCGGCCACATCCCAATTGCTCAACAAAGATGGGTCAATATTGGTTAAATTGTCGTTTTACGTTTAGCGATAATGAGCTTGACAATATCTGACAATTACTGTGTTTCTGATTTCTGTGTTTCTGATTTCGCAACGCCTTCAACCCCAAATCCCAAGCCGTGCGTCCCTACCGCCAGACCTGCCAAACCCTGACAAGTTTAGTGCAGTACTTTTCGCAGAACTGCCGCGTCAGTGTCTCACTGGCACTGGGCGGTAGCCGCAGCATAGGCCTGGCAGTGTCACTTTAAGTGAAATTTGTCGACATCCTCTAACTTGCTAGATTTCAAAATGCAATTCAGGACCACCATGCACCGGGCAAATCCTTGCATTCTTAACACTGGCGAAAGCTGATAGCGTGAAAACACCGACCCGTAAACTCTCAGCGCCGGCCTTCGGCATGAAAGCTTGCCGGCAGTGAGTTCCAAAGAACTGTAGTGGAAAACCCTTGGCTTTCACTCCAGAAAGCGATATTCCTTCCGGATTCTCATTCCAGGTAAAGATTCAATGTGGTTCTAGGCTCGGGAACCAGACTTTCAGCAGACTCAAAGCGCGAAGGCTTTCTGGAGGTTCTTGCAATGGGCCTCCTGAATGCGCTTTGTGGTCTGCTTGATCACCGAAGTGTCTGGTTCTGCAAGGTGCGCCACGCGGAAGCCTTGGTAAGCTTTTCATAAACTTAAGTCGGCTTCCGGAAGATTTTCTGAGGTTCGAGGTGCAGTTGCAGAAAACGGACCTGGTTTCCCCTACAGTTATCATACCTCTCTCTCTATCTCTCTCTCTCTCTCGCGCGCTCTCTCTCTCTCTCTCTCAGGCATCCTGTTGACTCCTACCCCTGCACTTTAAGGAAGCTTTGAGTGTGGGCATCTTTGAGGGCATCCTTAGCGAGCCTTCCACGTAGAAAACACTGATGATGGAGCTGGTGTGGCGTTGGGCTGCTTGTGGTTCTTACTACTAGTTTTTACAGATACGGATGCCCCTCCTACTACGAGTAGCCGGCCGGGATTACTGTGGTACCCTCTTGATGGCAGAGGCTGCTGTTGGAACTTGCGGACCGTGTTTCTCTGCTAGGACAAGGACACGCAACAAAGGATCACACATATTGCATGCAAGCTCTGCAGATCCTGCAGACCTTGCGAGATTCCGGACCCAAAGCCTCAGAATACAAACGGCTAGGTTTGAGGCTCTAACGTCATATTAGTCATATTCAGCCATTACCACCCATCTAAACGTTTCCAAACAAATCATGGAGCGGTGCAGAAGGAACGCCATCCCGAAGATCGCGCTTTGAAGTTGCTGAAGCGTTTGCCTTGCAGCTGACTTAGCAGATGAGGACTGTGGGCTTGAAGGTGGTTTGGCGGCACGGTGTGAGCTGAATGGAGTAAGGTCAAGTGTTCGAGATGCAGTGGTGTTGCACCCACGGTTTTTACTCTTTCTACCTGTCTTTGGATTTTCTCCACTGACTCAAGGGTTTGGAAGCTCAATAAGGTTCGTATTTCCTGTTTTTACTTGTAAGCACCTAGACATAACTATGCAAGTAGAAATCAAAACTGCTGTGCTGCCAAAACCACTATAACAGACGGTCATACTATTGGGGACCTAGACGGCTGTCCTTTCTCTCCGGATTCTCCTACAAGAAGGACCCCATACTTGGCGACATAGCCACGGGGCCACCCAACAGCCGACCTCATGGAGGAATGAGTTCAACGGAATACTCAGAACGAAGCTGAACACAATCAAGTAGGCGGCAGACGACAATCCCCTATGCCTGAAAACCATGAAGCCTCACCATGGTTGAGCACGCGAACCCCTTTGCATCGATTCGGAAATGTGCTATCGACATCTGCAAATCATGCAAAAGGTTGGCGCTCTGAGCCCGCTTCCGAAACCCTACCAGCCCCCTACTCTCTAAACCCTGCAGGTACGAACCTAGAGCTGAGCATGCTTCAAACCACAGAATTGGTACCCGACAACTACGTCGAGTCTCTGCAAACGAGCCCTGGCTCAGAAGCAGCAGAACTAAGGGGATGTATAGCAAATGTCGAAGTCAATATCTAGTGAAAGTTTGCGCGGACATGCGCTAGTCGATCTTAGACTTGCCGTCCACGAAACGCTACAAAATGCGTGGAAGGACGATCGTGTCAGACGCCTCCGTCCGAATCATCATGCATGTGACTACGCAGCTCTGAGGTAAAAAATCTAGCACGAAAGAATATGAACCAGTTGTCAACCGCTGAAGTCTTCATGATTGCGTTAAAGCATGAGCGTGAAAAACAAACAAAATCCTCTCACAGTCTTTCAAGTCTTATTTAGGTAGGGGTATCAATAAACAGAAGTCCGTCGACAGAGTGTCCTGAAACTGCTTTTCTTGCCAGCTTGACAGCATTCAAAGGACACTTGAGCGAATGCCTGCCCACCCACGGAGCTGGTAGGTTCTCCAAGCCCAGGTGAACAACGCAGGTCCAATGCTGCTCATGATACTGCTGCAACCCCAATTAGACGCCATTTGCAACCTTCTGGGAGAACCGGAGGTCCAATGATACTCATGAATGACTGGGGGCCGTTTCTCATAGTCAACGATTCCCCTGCACCTTTAAAACTGGCTTGATCTGCCTGTGTGGGGCCAAGCGACGAGTTTTCCGCAAGCAAGGATGCTCATGATGATTTTTGGGGCCGCGCCAGGGACCCATACCGTGGGGATTTGTCCCCGAGATGCACTGAGGAGAAATTGAGCTACGATTGTGCGGATAATGCCGCCCGCTACCCCTGCAAGTGCTGCAAATCCGTGGTCCTGGCCCTTGCAGGATGCGAAACGCAAAGCTACGCTTTTCGACATCTTGTCTTGTTGCCTAGTTGCCCGGCTGATTCAAGAAATGCAAACGTTATACTCCTCCTGTGACATGCGCAAGAAAACTGAGAAGTCCGGAGAAGTGCAACTCCACAGCATGCACAGCAAATCCAGGACACCGCATGAGCCCAGACTGGCACCCCTGCTCCGCCACGAAGGTTTTGAATGCCTTCGGCTATGCGCTGGAGACTTCCTCTTCTTCTACAGTTTCGAGCTGCAACAGCATGGCAACAACATTTCCTTTCAGAGTGGGAATGATAGTGCTTAAGTCAGACAGACCCAGGCGTTTCGGTCACATGCCATCCCAGAAAAGCACAAATAGCAAACATCAGAAAACCGACGTTTGCATTGATGTGACAACACTGGTCGAGGAGGGCTAGCGCTTTGCTGATGAGTGGGCTCTAGGGCGGTTGGAGCTTCAGCAGCTTTCCGGGATTTGGGAACAGAGGGTGTGTGACCGTACGCGTCCAGCAGAAGCCCCTCGTGAACAGCTGGTGCTTCAAGCCTCGGAGTCAGTCAGGACGGCTGCCAACTCCCCGAGCAAATTGGTCCCTGCCAGGAGTCAGAGCTTGATTTTTGGGCTGCTCTGCGAGTTTGAGGCGTTTGTATTGTTGCGGGGCTTTGAAGGCTTCAAGCTGAAGTACAGATTCAAGGTCGGCCAGCTCATTTTGGGGGGAACGCCAATAAAACCCTCCGAACCTTCGTATGCGCTTGGACCATGGTGCAAGGACTGCTCTGGCTTAGGTTAGATACTGCAGGCTCCTCGAAGCTTCTCTTCAAACCCTGACGGACAAAAATCTGGAAGTCCAGTCTCAGGATGCCGAGGTCATGCATTGCCGCGTGGCAAATGCATTAAACAATCAACAACCATAAACAAGCTTGTTGCGGCTTTGCTTGGAAGACTTCTCTGGTCGGTAGAGGAGCATAAAACAACAATCAAGAAAACACAAAAAGGACAACAAAAAATAGCGTTCATGGTAGACTATGGAGGATTTAGCTGCCTAGACTGCCTAGATATTACTGACGGCACGACTCGGAGGATAAAAGAAAGAAACAAAATGAGGATCAACATCCATAGATGATGAAAACTGACGGAAATGACTAAAATGATGATAGCCGCACGCCAACATCACTCCCCAAGTCCTTGGCGCCATGTGGTGCGGAGTGAGTGATGACTGTGACGCAGCGAGGCCTAGGGAAGGCCCATACTTGTGTTCTGAGAATTTTATGGAGGACGTAGAGCGTTGTACACATAAGATGTGGGCCGATTTCAATCACTGGCTGATGTACAGAAAGGATGCATATGTGGTGACGGGAATCATTACCAACCTCCACTTAACAGCTTCAGAAGGGCCAAAACGCTTCTCAAAGGGCACCAAAATCTTCCGTAGGCCCCATAGCCGGCACAAACTCGTTTGCAAGCGGAATAGAGCAGAGCATGCAGGATCTTGACGCCTCAATGCCAGGGCTATCAGAAGCTTGAAGGCCAGAGCCCCGACCAGATGATCCACACCCAAGATTATGACTGACCATCAGCATTGCGGACCCATGCATGCTGGGTGAAAGGATCTTCCGTCCATGGATCACAGGCAGCCAAGCCCTTGCCAATCAGCACTTTGCACACAAGCACATAGACTAGAAACCGGGGGACCTCTGTACAGGTACTTGAGTGAGGAAGATCTGTGACAAGCATCTCTCCATTAAGAATAGCTTAGCTTTTCAGTTTGAGGATGAGAGCTCTGAGGCTTTCGACCTGAGGTATTGTCGGGTCGCATTGATCACCTTGCAGCTTAGGGGACAAAGATACGAAGGTGGGCTGAATTTGATATCATGGGCAAATGCTGCGACTGCTTCTGAATTAGGACTAGCTCTCAGACACTATTCGCACTGTTCAGCTTGGGCTCCGCGATTTGGCGGGTTGGAGGCGCTGAACCCTGCACCCTGGAGTCCGCCAGGGCGACAAACCGCTCAAGAGTAACAGGCACCAAGTACTAAACTCCTGCACGCCCAACGCAAAGGACTCTGGGTAACCCTGTTAACCTGAAGGGCCCCTGACCACTCAGCACACCCTCCAAAGTACGCAGAGCGACGCCGTCCACACCGTCCTACATTCTTCTGCACAAGAACTTAACAAGCCACACTGAAATCTCTTTTCAAAGCCTAAGCTGCATAGACCTCGCAAATGTTGCCGGGCAAACAGCAAGAAGCGGGTCAACTCGGAATCCCTGGTTTGCCATATGTCTGGGCGAGAGTGGCGCCAGCCTTTTAGAAATGGGAACTTGTTCCATATGCCTGGAGCGACACAGTTCTGCTTCTTGGGCAGTGCCATCCAGCTGAGACGTGTCTCTCGAGGAGCCACGGAATTAACCAACTGGATTCTAAACTCTATAGACATTGGAGGGGTGACGCATGTTGTTCTGCAAGTGGCCATGTTGGCAGCGTAGCCGGCGGCCAGGTCAGAGAAGCCCTGGCAGGTGCTTTTAGGGGGTCCGTTTCGGAAGCTGCTATCTGCTTGGCGTACTTCATTTCTGTTTTACGGGCGTGTAGGCCCAGGCATGGAGCCAAGGAATTGCTGATGATGATGCTGGCCTTGTTGCAGTCGAGGAAGCTGCGGAGTTCCGTGAGCGAATTTTGAAAGGCCTGCACCTTGGCTTTTGTTTCTGAAAGGTTTGGGTTCTCCTCACTAAGGCTGTAAACTCCGCTTATTCTGAAAGAGTGCGCCCGTCTGAGATCAGGGTGCATCAAATCTGGCAACATTGCATGTGACGCAGTTTGTTGAGCAGGGGGTGGGGTGCTGGCTCAGCGCAGCCGGGCGCAATATCTGATCCAAATGATTAATCATGATTAGCCTCAGTTCTGAAGTCTTCGCTCTTTGCATCTAGATCCTTTTCAGCCCAGAGCTGATTCCTAGCAAGCCAGGGGCCACGCCGCAACAATAGAAGCAAGCGCGAGCCGAGATCCGGAACCCCAAACCCATCAGGCACTGAGGCACCTCGTCCTCTGCAACATCCAGGTAGCTGTCCAGTTTTGTGCGGAGTTGCCACCAGATGTGGTCCAAGGCAACCAGGATCTGAGATTGTCTCTACTTCCGCTGAGGTGTGGAGGCCCTACAGGAATCCACCCACCCTGGTGCAAGTTTTGGGGGATTGATCTACCAATCTAGCAGGTTTTGGGGATTGATGGGTAGATTCCATGAACAAGAGGAACCCTAGACTGTAATCATAACCCTTCTTCTGAGGACCCCCGGAAAAGTGCCCCTGATTTTGGGAAACCCCCATCCGAATTAGGCTTCAGAGAAGGCTTGCTTAGAAGCCTTGGCGGCCGAAATGTCCCCAGTCATCATCAAGTCCAAGAATGTCCCTCACCTATAGCCCCTATTTCCCTTGCACGCCTTTACACCATTAGGTTTGTGTGCTTCGTTGGTCCATCTATGGCGGCCCCACGTGCACAGTGACCCCTCTTGCTTTGCAAGACGCCTCCGAAAGCGGGTGAGACGTCCCATACAGAAAATTGAAAACTGGACTGCCCGTCAACCCAAGATCCTTCAGCCTCTAAATCCCGCTCCTCATGTCGTTCGCGGGCCAAAGACGCAGAGCTCTGTGAGCTGCGCGCTGCGTGGTGAGAGGCATTGCTCTCCTATCCAGGGGTTTATCGGTTCACTGCTCATGCAGATATTGGCTCTAAGAACCTTTGGTATTTCATCCTCTGGCTGGGTCGAGTGTTGCTGACCCTTACACCGCTTTTCTGCCTTCCATCTAGAGTTTTGGACCCGGCAGACAAGGTTGCATGCCGCTTTTTTGGGGTAAGCACTAAGCACCAACCCGCTCTGCTGTCGTACAGGGTCTTACATGCGCACAGAAACATGGAGACGCGAGGGCTCAACCAGCGCAATAACAAGCACATCCTACAGCAGGGTTCGATCCCACTCCAGATTTCGCGTCTTTCTGTTACGACTCCCACTCAGCACATGACAGTTTAAGCTGGGGCTAGTGTTCAGGCTTTAGGTCCTGGGGCTTGGCACTGGAGACAAAGCAGGGTGGTTTAGTTTTCAAATGCATGTACGGGGCTGAGCAGTCGAGACGTACGATACGGTTTCATGTGGTCACCGCCAAGTCTGTAACAGCTGAAAACATGTAAAGTTTTGCAAGGCTTCAGGCCTAGAACTTGGGGCTTAAGGTGCATGTCGGGCCGAGGGCTCAGGATCAAAGTTTAACTTGCTGATGACGGCATAGGTTCCAGGGTCCAGGGTTCTAGTCCTAGGCCTTAACACTCAGAATTTCAAGGGTTGCTGGATTCAGTTATACTTCTAAACAGGATGGCGAAGGGGCTGAAGGGTTAAAAGACTACGCAGAGAGTTGAGGCACCAAAGATTTGAGACCTGCGCGCTTGGGCCATACCGTGCTAGGAAGCTGTCCAGGTGTAGGATCTCAAGGGTAAAGATAGGGCTCGGCTGTTATGCTAGATTGGACGGGAGATGACTTCTGTCAATGATCCTGATTTCCCCAAATGGAGCGCATACTGTTGGGTGCTGACGGTGAAGATATTTAATGCTGCCACGCCTCTTAGTTGGAAGCCCCGCCTGCTGCTGCCCGTATACTGTAAACAGATGTTGAAACAAACCCTATCATCATGGTCGCCTGCTGCCACGTTGGTCATTTGCGGCTTTGGTGAACAAACACTACCGAAGCCGTTGCATGCATGGTCTAGAGCCACTTGACAATGTGGAAAGTACCGTGAAACTACTGCAAGCCCCTAGCCTGCCCAAAAGAAGCAAATTTCCGGCTGCCTCTTCGTTAGAGGTTTTTTGGGCCAGTTTCTGGTCTGTAGTCTCCCCGCAAAGAAACCAAGCCTCCCTTAGTTTCATAGCAGGACCCTCGGCGCCCCATCTGCCAAGTCCCTGAGCCACCCTTTTTCCTTAGCCTCTGGTGCAACAACGACACCGCGGGGAATTGAAACATGGACTTTCTGGTATAGAGCCGATGGCCTCAGCCATTAGCCGATGCAAATTTGTAAAACAAGCCCCCATAGCCCAAGCCTGGCCGAAGGACCCAGTTCTGAAACTAAGGGGGGGGGGGGCTTTGGTTGCTTAGCAGGGGCGGTTTTGGAATGATACTCAGGGTACGCTACCATGGGAACATGTGCTTCTTAGACTGGATTCGCACTGCGCTACTGATGTTGCAAATTCTGCCTCTTCTTTGCATAACAACACAAATGAGATGAAGGTCAACGACTACCTTGAAGGCCAGGCATGAACTTTGCCTGCCTTATGTGGGCCCTTGCCGATGGGAAATCAACCGCACGAGCCCCAGGCTCCGTTCCGGCTCCTTTTGCATCTAGATTCGTGCACAGCCTTAACTGCCTAGACCTGAAGATGTCTGAAGCATTCTCCCGCGTTACATAAACGCGATGCACTGGACCTTTTCCGAAACCCTTTTCTCCTGGCGGTACACCCCCAAGGTTCGAAGCTGAAAGCTAGCTTGTCGCTGCAGGTGTCCTGAGTTTGTTTGGTAAGGCCGTTGACCAGTAATGCCAGCTGAGCCATGAAATTCTTTCTACTTCGGGTTCCCACAAGTTAAACCTGCTCGCAAAACCTGCGCAAGCTTACACACATGGCCTTTCCGCTCACTTTCAACAAAACCTACCCGAGCTTGCACGAGAACGGACATCTAAGACACCAGGTCCTATGATTCAAGCCCAGCCGAATGCCTTCAAGAAGCAGCTTTACCAGCCTCCGATACAGACCTACGCAAAACTGGCGAGCAACAAAACTATGCGCGCTTAAGCAAAGATTGTGTGTGCAAAGAAAAACCTGCGTGGATCCTCGTCTGCGGTCCTTTTACAAACTCGCCCATGGCTTTTTTTGCTGCTCATCTTCATCCCTTTCTGCGTTTAAGTATTCGCTACTGTTTAGCCTTTTCAGTTCGCTACTGGTAAAAGCATTACTGGGGTTCAGTATGAACAAAAAAAGAAAATAGCATCCCAAATAAGCTCGGTGTCGTACGCTCCGTGCCACCTTGAGGCTGCTGGGATTGCGGGGACATGCTTGAATTCTGAATATGTCAGACCGGAAGTTCATAGTGAACCTCCGCGACCGATTGAATTCAATACTATGATGGGCTGGAAGCGCGAGCTCGAGGAAAAGCAGGAAACTCTGCCCTCCAATCAACAACTCGCACGGCCAATCCCTGGAAATCTGGCGAACCACCAACTTGCGTACGCCTGAGCCTTTTTGGCCAGAAATCCAAACCACGAACCCGACCGAAAGCCCTCAATTGTAGACCCTGATGTTTGCGCCTTGGCCCCAAGCCAGCCCTACCCCAGCTACCCCAACCACAACACCACAAAAAGACACACAGCAAACTTTGTTCGCAGGCACCTGACGACTTATCATCTCGCCCTTATCACGGCCATGTCCAACTCGCTGCAACCTTAACATCCAAATGTGGGCAGGTCGGGTCTCAGGTTGGGGGTTGTGCGCGGCTTGGGGCTTCGAGTTTGAAGGTCTCGAAGCGTGATTGATGCAGTTCTGGGCTTGGCGTGCTCTTTTTGGACAAAGACGGGACGCAGGCATGTTAATTGGGGCTTGGGCTGCTAACATACTAAAGTTCCAGTGAGACAGGATGAAGGCTATGAGAGATATCATGGTAGTGATCAGAATTTCAAGAACACTGACATGCGCCTGCCTCGGGTGCTATTTTTTTGGGGGGCAGGGGGATGATCAAGAGCATTTTGTCCACGCCTGACTGAATTCCACCTGTTCTACCTTCCTTGCCCCAACAGAAATCCTGAAGCCTGAGCCCCACAGTTGACCGGGCGTCGTCTGATGCAGGTTCTCAAGGCGTGCAAACCTAGGAGAGTTGGGCGTCGGCAGATGTACAAACATGGGGAGCTAGCTTCTGGTGGGATTAGCAGTCACATCAGAATGTGGCATGCGGCTTGTTTACAATATTGGCCTTGCATGACCACTGTCAAAATAACCTGTCGTGATGATGTCTCAGGGGTGAACACTCAAGACGTTCAGTGCAACGAATATCTGAAGCAGCTTCACACTCCGGATTATTCTTGACAATCTGCCCACAACAAATCAGTCAACTGTTGATCTGGAGACCATAGTGATTTTCGGCCAAATCTATGACTTGGAAACGGAGCCTCCGGATCTGGAGAAAAATACTGTCGACACGTTACCATGTCTAGTTTCTGGATGGAATCACATCATGGGGCGAAGCTCATAGACATCGTTGGCCCTGCAGCTACAACCAGAAAAGTCTATCCCGACTGCGACCCATGATGTCCGAACTGGGTGTAGCTCAAAGGCCAGTCTCAGCCTCAAGCTTCTACCACTGAACCCAAATCCAATTCAAAACCAGCGCACAGGGTCCGGCCCATCAAAGCCGACATAACCCCGACTGTTGATGGCTTGAGGTTACAATTTGGACTTGAGGATACGAGGCCTTGCGCCTACAACATCGCCTCGTCCAACATCTCGCCGGCCCTAAGACAGCCACGCTGTAACCCGATGCGTTCCCATATCTAGCAAGCAGCATTTCAAAGGATGCGTCCGGGTCCGCCCAGACATTGAAAACAGGTCAAGTCCGTGAACCCTGAACTCAGGATCAATCCACCGGAGCAGTTTTGAACCCACACAGGATCGGTCGCGCAACAAGGAGGCAGCGGCTGTGGCATTGGCAGACTTCCAGGATGGGAGGTCAGGCGTCTCCAGGGCGCGAGGGATGTGAGGTAAACTGCTGTCATCTTGACAAAGGGAAGTCTGACAATAGGCTTTCCTGGTCTATCAGCTTTCGTTCCTTTGACCAAGATGCAATTAGACTCATTCTTCATTAGTCCCTCGTTTAGAACGATTCTGGAGGGTTTGGGTCTTTAATCCCCCGTTTGAAGGTTCGGCATGCCGTACAAGTTCAAGCTCTCCGTCTCGGTTTTCTGCTTGATGATTGTCGTTATGTGTGTTCTCTTCAATGTATTGTGCACCCTCACAGCTACTTATGCAGACAGGCTCCTGCCATCTCGAGAAAAAGTTTCCTTGGAGTATTTGTTCGCTACTTTCCCAGCCCAGCTGCTGCAGAAGCGCTTCAGGCCTCCACATCTGATCTACATAAGGTGTCCGGGCCTCATTGCTTCAGAACTATGGTGCTAAAGCACTGCAAAGAATACCCTAGCGCAGGCATTCTCTCTCAATATCAAGTTTGTGACCAGCGCATCTCCGATTGCTCCATCATTGCTGGGGCTTGTTTTGGTTCCCCCTGCGGCGAGAGGTAAGCCGATCCGATGATGCGAAAACTCTACAACACTCGAATGCACTTGCGCTACTCCTTCTGGGTCCCGAGTTGTTCTTGAAGTTCCTGCCCAACAGGGCTTCCCCACCACCAGGCCCGCTGTGAGCCGCTGCCATGCTGCCTAGCAACAGCTATCCATACAGAGTTTCTCCAAAATTCTGTTCATATCGGACTTTTAGTGTTCTCCACCAACAGTTTGGCACATGCCTTGCGCAAGAATGAAAGCCCAAAACCAGTCTGGTATTAAAGGGCTGCCCCAAGCCATTTGCTGAGCTGCCTGTTCGAAAAGAATGCGGATTCTGCAACGTTGAAGGAAAAGCTTCAAAACAATACTAGACTGGCAAATTATCTTGGGTCTGGACCCTGCTTGAAATTAGCTGCTTCTCTTCAGGCGTCAGAGTTGCTGCACTGAAGGAGCTGCTCCGACTCCACAATGTTGCGGTGTTGCGAGCCCTGCAACCCTTCAACTTCCAAAGCAATTGTTGAAGATCTAAACGACATCCGCGAAACGATAAAATCCTTTTTTGATGAACTGGGTCGCATGTGGCCCCATAGGGGATGATTCCGAGCTCTTGCCATGTGAAAGAAGAGGATGCTGGAGCATGATGAGACACCATGACCCAAAAAATCTTCAAGCAACGCTTTCCAAGCTGAACTTGCAGCGTGCCAGCCAGCGCTAGGACTAGGACATTGAAGACCGAAAACTGCCGCATGGGTGGCATCAAAACGTTCGTCCGTACCGTCGCAGCCACTACTGACTGGCCTTGAGGAAATCATCCAGGGCCCTTTTCGCTGTGATGCGGGAGAGTTCATCAGCTGACGCGGCCTGTGAGCAACAAGTAGTCGGGCTGGGAAATCTGCAAGCAACCACGATCAAGACATGTCAAGACAGCACATCTAGACAGCGTTGGGGCTTCAAACCTATTTGCTGCCCGACAGGCCAACCAGAAACAGGAGACACAAGGAGGTTTCAGTTGGGTTGTGCTGGTATGCGTTAAGCCGGAAGTCACTTCAAGTTCCTTGCCCGGCACCTGGAGATCCATATGCCGCTGCTGACCAAGTGCCCCTACAATGGCTTTCCAATCACCCCCGAAACTGCAAACCCAGACGACGATACAGCCACAAATGCTACACTCCAAGCAACCACCAACATTCCAACATTGCACCCGTTTTGCCTGCGCATATCCAGCCAGCTCCACAAACATGGCATCGGTGGCGGCCTTTTAAGGCTTAGACTAGGATTAAGGCATTTTGGCCGAAGGTGCAGCACGGCAGAAGGTTTCAGCGCGTAGGGAGGTGGATCTGAAGAAAACTAGCATCGGCTTGACGAGATGTGCCAGATAGTCACCACACCGCATGTGCACCACACTGCTGCCCATTAGTGACGAGATTCCTAGGCCATATGCACTACGCAGCCGCGCAGCTTCTTCTCAGATTCCTCACCGTCTGTCCCCTGGTCAGCTAGGAACATATGTTCAGAAAGGGGGAAACGGTTGCAATAGTCCCCGGCTAAGCAATGCAAGCAGAAAGTTGACCCTCTCTTGCGGACTCGCGCAAGCCATGCACGATAGTCACCATATCCTGGTGAAAGTTGGCCCCCGCAAACGCAATCATGTGAGGCCATGGTTTGGATCAGATGCATAAAGGAGGGCTAGCAGGCACTCATGAGGTGTCCCTGCGATCTGAGCCCTCCTTCTTCCAAGCTCTGCTTTGAATAATTTGCAGGACGACACATGACCGGCCAAGGAAGTTCATTCACCGGAGGGCTTGTAATCAGTGAGGCTCAAGAGCAGGATTTCAAGCCAGGAACGTTGCACTGTTGAATCCCGCATTCTGAAGCTTCCGCCCTGCATGTACACGCCAGCGATCGGGCTGTTGTGGTTCGCAGCTTGCAGAACCCTCAACAAGAAGTTTCCAGACCTGGAATCATGCTTTGTCAGCCCGCCTTTGCACTTTGAAGGAGACTGTCCTTGTCGGCTTGCGACTGTTGCGTCACCTGATCTAGATTCGAGCCCACCAAAGCATGCGGTGCGTTGAGTGAGGTTTTGCAACTTGCACAAGGCGGCATATGGCAAATGCGGGAGCTTTCAGGGATTCACTCAGAGTCGGCCTGGCTTGCCAGTGCCTACGTGGTCAATGATCTGAGCTGTACTCAATATTCCGCAAAAGCAAATGGGTAGTAGCTACAAGCTATGGCAATGGCAGTTGCCTCCATCTCGCTTCTTATGATGCTTGTCAACAGGAAACCTGCAGCTTTTAAACACGACTTTGCTCGCTCTGCCTGGGGATGGGGGAGTTCATGAAATCGGTAAGTAAAAACAACAGCTTGCATTGCAACGATTGACTTGATTAACACGAAGTGTTTGGATTCAAGAGCAACTTGAGCACCCAAGAAACATTCGCGTGTAGGCCTTCAGACAGGCATGCTAGTTTAAGTTATGGTCAGGACAAGGCTTGGAAACCGCCAGCTCGCCTTGGTATCCAAAATGTGACCTCTCAAGATCGCCCGCCTAATTGAGATCTCACCACATTGTGACATGGAACGTCCCAAAAGGCGACTGTAGCGTTGGCATGCAATTTCAATGTCTATGTTGATTCTGTAAGTTGTTCACGTTCGTCTGCGCCATACTAGCTTGCTTAAGAGGACAGTATGAGGCATTAAAGTCACGCTAATCCCCTTCAAGCCTCACTGAAGCTAGAATGGCAAACGAGTTCTGCCAGCCACCATGTTGTGGATCTCCTGCAAGTAGGCGGTGTTGATCGCGTGCATGTAATCCTTTCTCGCTCATTTGCAAGGGCCAGAGTCCGGCCGCGGGCAGGCTGCAAAAACATCATTACTGTTACTGGGCAAGCAGAAGTAGCTTCCTTGAGAGAACAGAACAGCCGAGATGACTCAATGTCACTTGCCTATTCATGGACACCAAAAATGCTCTTGGGAAGATGCAAGACAGCCCTAGTGATGGGCCCTAGAGGCGGGTAATATGGTGTTGCTTTTAAGATAAAGGTGTGCGAAGATCCAGGAACAACTTCCTTTAGTTGCGGCAGTTCAACTGGCTCCTGTGGGGCCGCCCTGATGACGGAGCCCGACAAGGTTTATGCACAGGCGGGGGGAAAAGATTCATCACTGGGGAGAAGAAATTACGTCAGGACTATGGTGTGCAACAAGTCAGCGGTATGTTACGTTAAATAAAGCTGATCACGTGCAGCAAGCCTTCAGCATCATATTTGGAACATGCAGTGTAGCCTGGCAGAAGAAATTGCAAGATTGCAAGCCCCCCCCCCCCCCTTCCCCCGAGCTCAAGCAGGACTGCGGTTGTATGACTCATCACGAGACTTCCACTTGAGCTTGGGGATGGGAGCCTTTCACTGCAGAACATGCTATGCAGTCTTCATTCGTGACATGACTGATTCTGACTTTCTCGACAAGATTTGCTAGGGCGCACGGTGGAACGCCTGTGGAATTTTCATCGGATCAGAAAGGGGGCCCTCTCTGTTTTTGAGCTTTTGTCCAGCAGGAACCCACTTCTAACTAGCTACCATAGACCTTGATTAATAGACCTGTCCAGACCCTCAAACGAGCCACCCAGAATGAGCAAAGGCTTGATCTTTCGATGTGGGAATTAATGTCTACTGGGCCCAGTATGTTGTAAAGAGTGCTTATTGCAACCACTGGTATCCAGCTTGTCGCCGATCCATCCGATGTCCACCCTAGCCGACTCCACTGACCATTTCACCTTGCTCGGTCAGAACATGCTTTTGAAAGGGAAGGGTTTGTCTGCTTTTTGTGCTGCGGTCCATGTGGAACTTGGACCGATCCACACGTCTAGCGTTTCAGGGTGCAATGTGCCAGGCCACAATACCCATACCCAACAAAAATTATTTGATGGAAAGCCAAGCTACCAAAGCCTGCATGTTCAAGTTTGTTTTTTTGGTGGCCAGCTCCAGATTGCCTTGGCTGCTCAAGCTGCAGACTGGCCTGCCTGGCCAGGATTCGTTGTGATACTTTCATCCATCCAACCTCTAAAAAAACTGAAGGATTTACAGGAAGAACCTCAATTCCAAAATCCTCGCGTCCAAGTTTCGGATGATGGACCGGTCCCCCCTGATGACTGCATCCCGGACGCAGTGGATGTCGCCTGAGCTCTCCGTGTTGCTTGCTGACAGGCGACCCACACGAAACGGGATCGCGAGATATCGCGAGTGTATGCGAGTGTGTTATGCTGGTCACTGCAGCAGCGTGAAGTGATGCAAATGACATCTGATGTGACTTGCGTCCAATTACTGCTGGGTGAGCAATGTGAGCAAGAAGCAGCAAGCAAAATGCTTTTGAAGGCTTGCATGGGTGTAGCGCCTAAAAACTCGAGAATGTACGGTAGGAACACGAAACGTCACAGGCTCACGCCCTAATAGTTCATGACTGTCAGTCCGACACATTATAGCAATGACTAAACAACCAAAATAACCAGAGTCAAAAGCCTGAGGCCGCTGCGCGGCTTGTGCCAGCTGGGGATTTTGTTGGACGGGCGGGCCAAAGGGTCAGTTATTAGCCTTTCCTCGCACAAGAGATCCTGAGGGGGACAACAGCTGATGCTAACGGTCGCCCAACAAACCCAAAATGGAACCAATGCTGCCAGAGGCTCCGCTGAGCCCCCAGAAACAAACATCCGCAGTCCCAAACGAAACAAGTGTCCACAGGAGTCACCCCAACTTCTATCATGTATGTTACATTCACGAGCATTATCGATTCTACTTGCATTAATCACTAATGCTTTCCTATGCTTTCCTCTACGGTCATCACAGGACGAAGGCGCAGAAGGCACGAGCAAAGCCTACCTGCATGGGGTTGCAGGCGGCGTAGCCTTCCTGGGCTGATGCGATACCATTTGAAGTTTCTGGTTCGTCAGGCTGCCAAGGACGGCTCAAGGCTTCAAGATTACACCGCTCCTGTTGCTTCATGACCTTGGCGTTGCTAATCTTCGTTCTGAAAGATCCTGCTCCCTGAAGGAGGGTCGGACCAAATGTAATGCAAAAAATACTTGGGCATGAGGGTCACAGGAACGTTAGGCAATGAGCAAAAGGCCTTGCTGAAAGCTGAGAGAGCATAGGATCAACAGCTGCTGCATCCCTAGGCCCTATCCCGATTCCTGCTTGCACCTCTGCTAGCGGCTAGCGAGGCACCTGCTCAATGGACCAGCCCTGCTTGGCAAAGTGGAAGCCACCTTGGTTCTCCAATGAGGTTCGCAGCTTTCAGAATTTCGTTGGAAATTGTTCTCTGGAAGGCATCAAAACAAAACCTGATAGCAGCAACGAGCCCGAATGCAGACACACGACACGTAAATTCGCATAGATTTTCGCATGCTGCGTACGTCTCCATTCGCAGAACTTACGGGGCACGAAGACAAGACACGACACACAGGACACCAGAATACGACAAATGAAATGACACATACAACGCGCAGACCGGAAGAGAAGAAGACACGAGACGAGGGCATAACGGGAAGACACGATACAGCAACACCGGAAGACGTCTGACAGAAGGATATGACATGAAGACTCGACGGGAAGACACAAGAAAACAGACACTGGAAGACACAACACCAAAGCACGACACGAAGACACGACACGATCACACGAAACGAAGAAGACGGCACAAAGACACGGTACGAACGAACGATGTTCTGGCACACAACACAATGACGATGGTCAAAAAGCCACCACATGAACAAGTACGAGGATGGCGACCGTCAACGACGGTCCACCCGCAGAGGGCTGTTGTGCCTACAGCGCGCGGCGAACGCTTGCAAACGATGTCGAGCGCTTTGCAGACACGTGTGTCAGGATTCTGAACGTGCTCGACCCCTGGACCCCAACTCGTAAAATGCGAGCCTTTGTGGTGCGCGCTCGGGAAAACTCCGAAAGAAAGCCACGACGGAAGTCAGCCATGGAATCCACCTCCAAACCGAAGCTGCGTATGCCAGGCCGCTGATCGGCCCTGCAAAGTTGCTGATTGCGCCGATGAGTTCTGATATTCCTGACAAGCTGCTTAGCGGCGGGATTTTTTGGCCTCTGGGCTCTAGGCGGGGAGCCTGATACAGAGGCGATGAAGGTACCCTGACACTGTCAACAACAGTTACGCTTCCCGTAGAGGGCACTTGCCGACGCCAAGTTTGTCTTTGATTTCCCAAGAAGCCAGAAAAAGACTTGGAGTAGAGATCTCCTACTTCTGCATGGTATTTGACTTTGCTCGGCTCTTTACTGTACGGTCAGATCTGAACACCTCACAGCAGGACCACAAACTCAGTACATCTCAGTACGTGGGGAGGGGTAGTAGGGGTGGGGGGGTCTGCAAATAAGTCTGGGACATGTTGTTCGGAGCCTTCATGCTCACGAGGGTGCTTGACCACCCTCTCTACTGCTATGCGTGCGCATGCCTGCGCAACTATGCACGAAAATTCGCATAACATAGATGCCTGAATAATTGTAACAGGGTGCGGGTGAATTTGTATTGTGTGTTGTGAGTGAGGCCTTCGTAAAAATTGAAATCATTCAAGCCTGTAATTGACATAGAAAGGCTTTAGAAGTGGGTCGTCTCTATGGGGGGTGAGGAGCTGCGAACAACCCATACCTTGGGCCAAGGTCGGCTTTCTCTCAGCCATGCCAGCACGGGGGCGAGCCTTCCCTGTATGCCCGGGCCATGTAAACCACCGCCGTGAGACCCCACCTTGAGACCTATTGTGGGAATTGCGTGAGGGCACACTCCACAAGGGCTCGTTTGGGTCCTTCCCATGCTTCTGCTTCTGTTTGAGATGCCCTCCCTCCAAACCCGAGTGACCCCAGAACATGTGGAAGTGGACTTTTCAAACCAGGTCAGGTTTTGGGTTGTGACGATAGAGATAGGACTCTATGGCACAACAAGCAGGCAGGTGCAGAATCAACATCAAACAATTGCGTTAAGGGCGAGGTCGAGATCTGAGAACCACTGCCATCCACCGGTGCTGCTAGACAAAAGGGCTGCTTGTTGTCAAGCAGCCGTTGCAAATCTCTCCTGGATTCAGCGCAACACCGGCACCAAAAGGGGCAATCATGACCTCAGCAAGTTGGGCAGCTCAAGCTTCCAGTCAACGTTTGTGAGACAAGGCTTTTGAGGCAAATTGTGCTTGAGGAACTTAGCTTCACTGGGTAGCCACGTGCCAGCACCAGAAACTGGAAGCAGTGGGCTTATCGCTCAAGTCCGAAAACAAGGCGAAAACAAGGTCTGACATGCACTCCCATGACTGGACCGCGCTCTTGCCAGACACTGTGGCTAGATCGCTTGCTCACTCACTACGACCGTCAGAACTACCGCTATCCGCGCACAACAGAAAAGGGGCCTGTGAATTCAACACCTGCCCAATTCAGTTCGTCTTGGCATGCATGGTGATGTGCTCGAACGAAACCCTCCGCAATTCCCAGACTACTCCTGCCAGCTCCCAATGGATCCGAACCGCATCAGGGATGACTCCACACACTGCCCCCATGGTCTCCTCAGTCAGGTCCATGATGAAATCCTTGGATTGTCTCCAAGCTTATGGTTGTTGAAGGCTTCGAGATCTTTAGGTAGCCTGTTCTGCACTTCAAAGTTGGCACCAGGAACCAGCTTGATGACTGAGCGCGACTCCAGATCCTGACCACACCTTTAAAGGTTACCGAAAAGGCTGCTTTGTTCCAAGGGCATATCGACATCAATGCGCTCACGCTTTGCCGGGCTTCTGATTTCGCTTGTCCACTTCATAGTAACTAGGAGGAGGTGGGGCCAAGGCTTCACAGCCGCGATGCCTTTCATATTATCTTCTCTAACTGCATAAAGCTTGAAATTGTAAGTCTTGCGCCATGTGCTCCAACCCTCGGAGTGCGCCTGTAGGTTTGGGCCAGGGCCCAGACACAGCCGCTTGAATTTGAACCCTTGCGACCACAAGCGAAACTCAAACCGCAGCAAGCCAGGGTTTAGGCGTCAGGGCTTTCATCGCCAAGCAAGGTCTTGGATGGCGTATCAAGACACGAGGAACTGTCCAAGTGCGATATCATGCTCGCACTGCCTCTTTGTCTCTTTGTGGTATGGGCACAAGCTCTCAGATGAAGCCACAAGGATAAAGAACAATGGACTTCGAGACGCATGGAACCCACCCAGGATCCGAGAACCCCTACTCACCGAGATCAAGGACACGATCTGCTATGTACACCCGGAGATGCTATCACGCATGCTGTTCTTGACACTGCAATTGCACCATTCATGCGGCTCAAGTTAGAGGAGAGGCGTTTAGACAGTCACATGGCTAACCTCTCCATAGTAAGTGTCAGCAGATCCGGATGACGTGAACTTTGCCGAACCTTGTCAATAACTTCCTGGTCCCTCCGCCCAACACCTGGCCAGCCACCATTGAAACCTGCCCTATGTAAATCAGTGTGGTTTGGTGCTCTCTCTCTCTCTCTCTCTAGCTGCTGTGCTGCAGCGAATCCAAGAACTCTCTAGTAATCCTTGCAAACCCGAAAACACCATCATTATCAAGCCTGCAGGGTCTTCACTTGGATTTCAAGATCCGCAAGGCCTCCATGTACAGGCCAGGCTCAGTAAGTGCTCCGTGGTAGTCCAGCTGAGCAGCAGCCAAATCGCGCTCGATGTCTCCTGCTAGTGCGTCGCAATTTGACGTGCGCTTGATGAGCTACATACGACATACGGCTTGTGCGAGAGCGCTTCGAGTTTCTCAGTGCTGCTTTGTATTGGGAAATCAACTGAAGAGTCGGTGTGGGCTGCTCAATGCAGAAGTATACGAAGATGCCTATGTCGCTTTCGTGCTGGATGTGTTGTATGACTTACCGCGGGGATCCGCAGGCCAAGTGGTATGTAAGCAGAAGTAACCGAGGTTCCTCGTCGGGGTGCTTTGGCATTGTGGAGCTTTGAAAGTTACATTTTTGATCCCGTACTTGAAGGTGACACAGGAATCGCACTTCGCGGGTACGGCAGAGCTTATCATTCATGCCTGATTGCTTTACCTTGATTATCTGGTGATGCCCTTGCCCTCCAGCAGTAAGCATGAAAGCAGGGAACAATCCGAAAACCTCCGTGCAATTGCGAAGAAAACTGCAGGCTTGGCTGGGGCTGTTCACGTGCGGGGTTTCAAAGCTGTGGGGCAGGTTGGTGTTATGACAAAGTGAGATCAACCAGATCAGCCATTGTGTCTCCTAAATCCAGGTTCTAGGCGGCACAACCCCAAGGCAGTTTACTCTTTCCGGCCCGCGAGGGAATAAGACTACAACTTACCTCGAAAGACTGAGGCACATGTTTGCCATTGAAGGTGTGTAACGCGAAATTTCCAGACCTCTCAGCTCGACAAAAGCCTGCCGACAAAAGCCTGCCATCTGCTGCCGCTCCTTGCATGCAGTCGTTCCAGTCTGCATACATCATGTTCTCGGGAGCCGTTGAGCCGTCACCTCAACAAGCTACCAAATTGAGTTGTTGATCGATATAGACAACATACACTTACACACCGCTTTCCGCACGAAACGTGTCGCCTCAGTTCGTTCTGGTTTAATGCTATAGCTGCTACGGTTAATGCCTTTGGCACTTCAATGCATTTCAGGTGTTTCAGTTTATTCTAATTTAATCTGGAGCGTCAGGCCTGAAGAGCAACAATATGCAAAGTCTCCACTGCACCCTTGGGGCCTGAAAACGCCAAGCTGAAGTTGCCAAAATTAATTAAAAATAATAAAAAAAATGCCTTTAATCCAGAATCCTAAACTGCGCGTCCCCATCACAGAAAGGGACTCAAATTTTCAACCCCAAGTGCCACGTACTTGACGACCCCTCCATAGAGAAAAAACAACGTTTTTCACACCTTTTCACCTCTTCAGCGTCTGCCAAACTCCAGCACGTCTGATTAGGGCTCTGAAGCTCGCAACACTTGGCATCCAAGAATGCACCTCGTAGACCCACTGCCTTAACTTCTAGGGAGAGATTGTCTGGACCTTCACGCTCGCAGGCCTGGTGTACGGACTAAAGCTTCATCCCCAAGTTCATTTTCCCCTGCACAACCCTAACTCATGTTGGCCCTAAGAGTAGCTCGACATTTCGGATCGGACCCGACCTGTGCTGATCAGTCTGAACCAACCCAACCTAAAAAACCCAACCCTACCCCCTCGCAAAGAGGGCATGCTCAACCTCTTGACTGCCAAGCCCACTCTGGACGCTCTCTGCACCCGTCAGGCCTTTGCCCCATGGGCCAAAGATGCCGCCCGCGCCCTTGCAGCGGAATGATTCACATGCCGAAAGTCAGGTGCCCCTGAAAACAATCCAAACTCCTTCCATCAGCTTTGATAGCTACTGGAAACTCACTATCTTGAATTCGAAGGCCTCTTTGAAGAAGTTTTGACAATGGCCATCCAGAATGGCAATCAATGAAAGAGACATGTTGGACAAGAGGCTCAGCTAGAAGAGCTTGCAGATTCTGAAATGGTGAAATAGGTAACGCACAGGTTTGGCGTGGCTCTCGAACTCGCGCAGCTACCCATCCCTAACAGTGAGCGAGGGCGATGGATTCCACAACAAGCCGAAACCTCTATGCGCAGCCGTGGCAACTTAAAGCCTTGCGTTGCCCAAAATCAAGATGCAGACAGGACAGACAAAGGGGGTGTCAGTTGAGATTCTTCAAGTGAGAATGCCAGGCTGTCGGGCCGACTCGCGCAACGTTGCAGGAATGTGAAGTGGCCGAGCAGGAGCGGAGTTGGGGCTGACCCGAAGAAACTATCGGCGTCTTAAACGTGTTAACTGTAGTTGCCACTGTCTAGACTGCCCCTAAGCCCACTGCTTCCTACACTGAGTTTAATTGGCGCTCAACTCAAGCTTGAAAGCTGCAACATGTTTCAGAAGCGGCTGATGAAGCAGTGTGGCATGCCTGTCTGCCTACCACAAAACCACTGCAACAAGGGTTCGGAGACCAACTAATGTTTGTAGACTCTATTCATGAGCCCTCACCCTTATGATGATAATGTGGTCAGGTCCTGCGCAAGTCCAACCACAGGCTGATCTGGAAGAGCTTTCAAGGCCATGCAGAGCCTACGTTCATCACCCCGCATGGCCTTGGCAACCTCGCACGGATGGTACGAGACCATGTCCTTGTCCTGCTTCAGATTTTGGAGGCTTAGGGTTTAGCGCCGCTTTGGGAGAAACAAGTCCCACAGTGGAGGACTTCGCCTTCTCGGGTCCCCGACGCGTACTTTCTAAGCATCACTGAGTGCCAAACGCTTGCCTTTTCTGTTCTAGCACGTTGGGACCCAAAACCATAGACCGCACCCAAGAATAAGGCAACACAAGCCTCAATGAAGACAGATTGCATCATCAGGACCCGAAGCTACGCTCTACAACTTTTCATAAACCCCGTTGAACGGAAAAGCCCGCTTGCATGATCGGGCGTCTTGGGCATCAACTGAATACAAACAATACAGTAGGCCGGTTGGGCTTAGGATTCTGACCGGGCGGAAGATCTACGCATACTGACACGTAAGCCCTCCGCTGAATATTTACAACCCTCAAGCTGTGCGCAATCGAAAGCATTGCTTGCCCTGGACACCCTGTCTACGCGTCCTTGGTTGCGGGATCGGCTTCCAGCTTGGACGTTGTTTGCACTTCTTCGTCCTGCCACATATATCTCAACATAGCTTCAGCCGCGTCCTGATTTCTTGGTTAACCTAATGCACCAACAAAACTCGAATCCATCCAGGACTTGAAGATTCCAACAGCGCTCTAAATTCCCACGAGAGGAACATCAGTTGGAGCCTGCGGCGGATTTGCAGGTTTCGTGTTGAAAGCTCTCCCATCCCTTAACACTGATATTCGAGTGCCGGGTAACCACGTGTCAGGAACTGTGGGCGTGTGTCGGAAACAAGGAAGGCATATATAGTGAGGCACATGTCGGGAATCCAAGAAGCGCGTATCCGTGTCAATCCAACAGAATGGCAGTAGACCAGTGGGATGTGGGGAGCAGGGTCAAGACTTAACAGGAGCTTGGCTTTGGCGACCGAATGTGATGATGCACTTTAGTGCAATGTTCCCTGGCAAAGATTTTTGGCACCACTTTCCACTATCCACTCTACAGTTAGCTTAAATAAAAGGCACCTGGGCCCACAGACAGCGCACCGTGGCGCTTCATCGCCCTTATCGCCACGGTACCCTGTCCCAAGGGGCGGGCGGGCGGGAACTTCAATGTTAGCACATCAGGCCACTGTACCAAATCTTGTAAGTGGTACAAACAAACGTAAGGCAACTTGACATGTTCTCCTGCTATCTTGAATGATCGCGCCATGCAATTAACAACGCCAACCACTGCAAAGTGCCCTAATTCCTTCCCCTAAACTTCCTTAAGCCCAGTCCATGTTACCCCAATCTCAGCTATCGACGCTTCCTTCCATGAATCTTACAGTGCTAACAATCGCTTGAAACCCCGAGACGCTTCGTGAGCATGCTGCCATGTGGTGGTCGTCACATCGTCCAAACACAGCAAAGCAAGCCCTGAAAGCCTCTTGCGCTTCGCCCACCGACCACACATGCCCTTTGCCTGCCCGACTAATTACCCGTGGCGGGGCAGGGCAGAGAACAAAATGGAAGAGCAGGGTAGGGTAAGGTAGAATAAGGTGGGGATGGAGGTTGAGTAGGGCGGAAGGGTAGGTAGGGCAGCGAGTGCGCACCAAATGTCCAAGACAGGGCATATCGAGGCCCGTGGCAACGAAAACCACGCGGCTCAAACAAATTATTCCAAGACAAACGTGACATTGTCAGGCTTGCAGTTCTGCCTGACCCACTCCCATCCGTCTGGTTTGTCTGGCGGCGGATTATCGGGACGCCTTGTGAAAGGCAGTGCCATGATGAAAAGACTTTGGCAGGCAGGAAGGGTACTTGCCGAAAGGTGCATCTTCAACTGTTGCGCGGCTTCCACAACTTGTTCCTCTGTTGTCACCACTCCCGAGGTGACTCCTTTGAGAATTATGTTTGCTCTCGGTCTGCTTCGCGGCAGTTTGCCGCGCGAGCTACATTCCGACATGTTTCACTGCTGCTGTGTACAGCGAGCATTTTTGACAGATTGCAATAACGGCCCACGTCCGGCAATGCTGGCCCAGCACAAGGCAGCCAAATTATCAGGGACCATTTCTTCCGCGTGGCAGGCACCTTCACTGACCGCCAGGTGGATTACCAATGAAGTTACGGAAAACTACGCCTGGCAGGCACAACGCATAGGTAGGGTAGGTCGTAGGGTCGTAAGGTAGGGTAGGGCGTAAGCTCGGGTGAGAAATCTTGTGGAGCTCTCAGGACGTGGTCTGCTATACTTGGGCTCTGTGACAACCGACACGCGACGAACTGCTGATGGCCCCATGACACACATTTTATGAGTTGCGTCCCTTCATTTCCGAATATTTCCAAAAATGTTCCATGTGATGCCTGATTCGTGCCGCCCATTCTCAGACTCTAAATGCCACTGAAGCATACGACACACTGGAATGAGACGAAACGCAGGCAGGCTCCGAGCCTCATGTGCAAACCCTTTGGATGGATGAGGATGCAGAAGAACAAGATGAACATGATGATGCTGAGGAGCAGCAGCAGCTGCTGCCGTTGTGCAGCAGTTGTCACAGCAGCAGCAGTAGCAGCAGTAGCAGCAGTAGCAGCAGTAGCAGCAGCAGCAGCACAGGAAACAGTAGCAGCCACACAAGTAGTCGTCGTAACGGCGCCAACAGCAGCAACGGTAGCAATCATCATGGTGAGGTTGGCCTTGTCGTCGTCTTCAAAATTGTTGTCTTGGCAATAGGGTTACTTCAATGATCAGGCTTGTGACTTACATCATAATGACACCACTTAGAACCGCCGCGCCGCCATTGCCACCACCGCCACCCCCATCACCCCCACCACCCTCGCCACCACCGCCGCCATTGTCTTGCCCCCCCGCCACCACCCCACCACCACCACCGCCGCCGCCACAACCGCCCCCGCCTTTAAAATTCAACAATCACAATACACAATAACAACCTATCAACCACAGTTGATCAGTCAATCACTCTTCACAATCCACAGCAAGCTTGATCAATCTTTTGTGCTGTCCACAGCGTCAGCAATCCAGTCTTGAGCCAACCACCACTTGGTGTCATTCATGTATGCTCACCATGTGGTGCACAATCCAGGTCATTGTGGGAACCGTCTCATCTAAGACGTTCCGTTGAGTCAGGCCTTCAGTCATCAGCCACATTGCCAGTCAATAATGTCAACATTCTTGGTTCATCTTGGTCAGCATGGCAAGGTTGAAGCCAAAATCGCTCTTGCAGTTCCGTGAGGTTAGACCTCAACGTGAAACTGTGCTGGGTTGGCACGGCGTTTGCTTTGCAGAAAGGCCATCCCGTGCACTCTAAGAGAGCCTCCTCCCCACCCATGAGAAATTGGAAACAGAGAGCTCCTTCTTCCTCAGCCCAAAGGCGAGGTGAGGCTGAAGCCAAGAAGGCTGTGACATTTGAGGTTATTACCTCACCGCTAGGATTGCACTAAGGTTGGCTGGCGTCTGCTGTTGCTTGAAAATTCGCCAACCCTTGTGGATCTCAGCCCTAAGGCGAGTCTGCTTCTGTGCTGTGCCAGCCACTGCTCAGCCCTCAGGCGAGATTGGTCAAATCTGATAGGCTTGCAGATGCATCATGAGTGTTCTACGATGGTGGACGCGTGGCACAAGCAACGGCAAAAGCTCGCGGCTTGACCAACCATTTCCAAATCTCAATCAAGAAAACTTCAACCAAATCATGAAAGCAAACACTTCACTCACGACATGTTGAGGCAGTAGCCCAATCCTCCATTTCTGCTACACATTGCATGCACTCACAATCCACACTCCGGCACTGTACAACTCAAGGCGAAAGCAACCAGTCTCATTTGCAATCAGAAGTCTGCACATCACATGCGCTGAGGAGTTGCTTCAATAACATTCCGCGCTCCTAGTGGCATCATTTGCCACTCCGCCAGGTCAGCAATCCAGTTCAATCTTTGCATTCACAACTTCCTGAACGCAATCTCAGACTTCTCTGGCATCTTCCTTAAGCTCCCAATCATTGCCTTAGGGCCTAAGAATCCTGCAGCAGAGGAGGATCCGGCAATCGCATTCTGCAAATTCTCCACAAACTCCGGATCAGACTGCTCGTCCCACGTGGAGCATTCGCCTTCCATCCCTGCTTCGCGGGGCAATTGCCACTGTGACAGGGACACGACGAAGCATTCCCCATTCAATCATGGTGCCGCTTCCATTTATAACATGGGCGCCAGTCTGCTGGCGGCAGCATTCCCTGACATTGTCCAACCACAGACGAAAACCATTTGCGACAGCGATCTTTCCAACATTCCTTCTGACCTCTGACAGTCGGTCGGTCGTCATTCGCAGTGGGATCCAACAAATGAAGCACCATTGCTTGACATTCTGGCTTTTGGAAAAGGCATCCTGCCCACTCCACTGAGCAGTCTTCCTCAGTCCAGGAAATGCACTGAAAGGATTGTCCCTGCGTGAACATCGCAGTTGAGAACTTCCGAGCGTTGAACAACTCATCCGCCATTGACTGCGAAGGGCATTCGCAGCATTCGAAACTTTCCACGACAGCTCATTCGGCACCAGCTCTTCATTGCACGGGCGCGCATTGATGAATTTGATTCTGCGTTCATTCCGGGCAATCATATCATTCACGGGAGCAACATTGGAATGGCATTCACGTCTGCTACATTGGTCACGGGGGGCATTCTCCGGAAATGGAGCCATTTCCCGAATTTCATCTGCGCCCCGCACAGTCTGAGAACTTTAGCCATCCTCACTCCCCTCACGACCCACTTCCAGTGGAATCCCACTCATGTGCGCCAGCGCAGTCATGGTATGTCATCCTCAAACAGCACACTCCATTATGCAGCACCCAGTTAGCTCTGGATTCAAGCATGCGCTACATTTTGGGGAGTCCAACCAGTCACCCTGGCAATCCGATCCACAATCTCCTCATTGGAGATGGAAGCGCGGATGTCTTCATATGACATTCTCTCAGACAGCACGCTAGCAGTCCCGCAATGGCAATCTGCACTAACCGCCGTCAGGCAGTCTAGACACTCAGGATTGACCAATCAAAGCAGCAGAAAACATTGAAGACACGTTGACTGGTCATTAGAAACAATCCTAGTCCTAAACATGAGCACGCAAAACAGTCATGGAAAATAAGTCCTAATGCAACCACTCCTAACGCACGTCACTTGCAATCCGAAACAAAAAACTCATTCACACTTCAGTCTGCCAAGTCAAACCTTAGCAGTCAGCAGCAATCCTTAGGATACCTCAACATGACAGTCCTTCATTTAACGTGTGCTACAGTGTTGCTCGTGTGTTCATTCCTTGCATTTACCTGTTTGCATTCGGGCCTGTTTGAACCTTCAGTCTCAAACCTCCAAAACACACCCAGTGGAACAAACCTATGCGTATTCAGACATGACTACATTCGCAGTCGCAAAACACTCGCAAAACGACATGCAACCAATCAACCAATCAGTCTCACCCTTGAACCTGGGCATTCCGGGCCACTCGGGCTTCAAGGATCTGTGAACGCACGAACAATCCTTCTGAACCACCTTGACCAATCGCA